TAGTCGGACAGAAAAGGTAATAATAAAGTTAGCAAATGCAAGTTGAAGAAATATTTATTTGGGAATAAAATGAAAGAAAGCGTCACGCTCAATTGCACTATTTTCGCTACTCGAGGACTATTAGTAGCGTAGCCAATTAAAATGCAGGATTCGCATTAGTCCCCTAGTTGGGTGATACTAATAAGGGCTAGAAGACAAAGGAAATTGAGAATCAAACTACAGTAGGTTAAAATCAATTTAACCTGAATTTCATTTTGAACTACAACAGTTGTAGGTCAATTTGTTTCAAACTAGGTTGGTTTGAACTCAGCCTAGTTCAGTTTACTAATGTCTCTGTATTTTTTTTTTGGCTGTGTCAAGATGTCTGGCAGCCAGACAGTGTTTTTAAAAAACTTTGTCTCTGGTTAGGCACCTTTGGGCTCTGCGAAATTTTTCTTCAACCACATCCTTGGACAATAAAAGACACTCACCCGAAGTCTCTGATCTCCAAGTGTCCATACTCGACATGCGCCTTCATGTGATCCCGCCAAAACAAGTTTTTCCTGGAAATTTTGCAGTTGGTATTAATATATCTATGAGTGGTCCACAAGGACAGACTACATGTATGTGCAGACTAACTTTGCCAACCAGGATAAAGAAATTCTCTCCCTCAACACTTTCAAAGGAACAATTTTTGCTGTACAGAATTTTAGAAGACTTGATTGGAACAGGCCATATTATATCCCCATTAACCCTTTAATGGTAAATTTCCTCAAAAAATGCTGTTTTTTGACTACCATGACCCTGAATTGGCCTCAACTTTGCTGAAAAAGTGATTTCTTACCAAGGAGCAAGATTTTCCTGAGGATTAGGTACCAATTGAAAATGTATGTAATATTTTACTTTGGAGCATGCCATATTAAGCCAAAAATTGGACTTGTTTTTGTTATTATTTTTTTTTTGCTGGCCTGATTTGATTTGTTCCCTGTACTTTTCCTTTCCTTTTTCTCGCCCCTTTCACTCTTGCTAGCTATTGCTTTATTTGCTTTATCCTTTCTGACAACTGTATAAAGTTCAATCAGTTATATCTTTAAGGTCAGTTTTACACCAAAAACAACTGCTCACGTTTTTTTCAAAAACAGACAGTTGTGCAGATAGATCTATCCTAGCCCTATTATCTATTAGCTCTATTATCTGCTCATTAAGAATACCTAATGACATCTAAATTGCTGACATCACAATTGGTACAAAGTGTATGACCCCTCAATCGTAAGAAAATGTACGATTGCAGTTAAAGCTTAAATGTTGACACTATGGGTAAATTCAGATCAGTTGTTATGAGATTACTTAAATCATGGTTCACTAAAGGAATCGATGAGTCCTTAGCTTACCCAGAGTGGATTTACCACTTCCTTTGATGCACAACTATCTTGCATCATTGATCCTGATCCAGATTATTCCAAAGGAACACACTTCATGATATATCCTTATACATTAAATGACCCCTGGTTAGCAACCTAAAATAATAGAAGAATCCTACCTGAGGATCAATTTGTACGGACATGATGCCTGCGTTACTACCATGCATGGTACCTTTTAATGTATAGTTTCCTTCAATTAGAAAAAAAAAATTGATATTAGAAAAAAACATTATATTTACGAACCATAGGTTATAAACAGATGTTCGGGTTGCTAAGAATATCTGACTAAGAAAAAGTAGTCAGACAAGTGGTGCACATTGTCAGCTAGGTTAAACTCATGATCTCTGTAGCCTAAAGTACTTATTAATAAGTGTATTGATAAATGTCTATAACTCCTTCTGCAAAGCTGAGTGGTAATGTTTATCAATTATATTAGATTATGAACTTGAGATTTATATCACATGATAGTTGACGAGGGTGCAGCCTCAGGAGTCAACCATCATGCATAGAAATTGAGAGTCATTAATCTAATTAAAAAATTGACACCAATAAGAGAACAGCATTCATGATAGAACACTTGTCTAGATAGTAGATTTATGCTAATAATAAATTTTCCTAGTACGAACTGCTCCAATACAAGGTACATTACGTAAATACAAGAAAAAGACAACTCAGGCTAACGCACCATCAGGCCACTGTGCCTGCAAGTTAAGATTGCATTCGGATCAATGCAAACCAAGACCATTGTACTCCTGATCTCAAATAAAGACAGTTCTGGCAAATGAAAGTTAACTCATACCATTGACTTTTTCCCAGACTTTTACTTTTCTGTCTGCGCCTCCTGTCACGAACAATCTTCCTGAATTGCTGAATCTTGCTGCATTTACTTCCCCATCATGGGCATCCTACCAAAAAATAAAATAGAGTTTAACAATGGCTAGTTAATTGACAGGTGACCATCAGCAGCTGCTGATCATGGATGAGTTCATCAATGTCCAAAAACAACCATCCCTCCCCTCCCCAATAACAACAACCTATCTTCCTGTGTCTGTTTACATGCCTGGGTTACAATGATTGATTGTCAGCAGAAATCAAAACACCGCTGACAATGGTTTGAGCTTGAACAAGATCTTCAGGTCCAGATTTCAATAGACTACCATGACTATCATGTTTCATACAGACTGACATTTTCAACAAGTTGCTGAGCAAAGTAATAGATAACAAACGTTCTGTACTCACAAACTTTTTGTCAGGGTATGAGGGGACAGATATGATCGCACAGAATGGTATGGCTGGCTGATCAGAACTGAAAGATAAATTACAAAGTAAAAAGTGAACATTCTCGCATTTTCACTACCACCTTACTAAGCTGAGAGAGCTTAAGTGTACCTCGCAAGTTCCTCAGTGATCTAAGGAGCTACATGTATACCAACAGGCTATATCTACACAAATCTTTCTTTACAAGATTTGCCTCATTAACATTAGTGATTCAGTTACTGATCTAGCTACAAATTATACCAGCTCTGAATATTGAAATTATGACATGAAGGACCATTAACCATCTCAAGGAATTTAAGTCCGATGTATCAGACACTTATTGTGAGATTTAAAAACTCAAACTTTTACAAAGAATGCATGAGCTCATTAGCACTTAACTGCCACCCAAATATTTTGCAGTTCTTAAAAACCCATGAATATTACATTTTGCCATGAATATTACACCCAATTCAAAGAGCCAAACATTTCACCATTTACCAAGTTTTACATCAGCTCTTTATATGTTTGAAGTCAATTTTTAACTAGCATGATGTCTTCTCTGTGTAAAGTTGTATATTAATAACAGAGAAAAATGGCAACAATGACACCAGCAAAGATTGCTCTATACTAACTTAAGTAACAGAAACCTGGCCCTCCAGGGATGACATTGGATGATAGTTATCATGCATTGCCAGAAAAAAAGTTGGAAAAAATTAATTAACATACTTCAATAAGATTTCAGAATAAAGAGTAGTGAGATAAAAACATGAAGTTTCGGCAACGACATGTCACCATTATCAAATGCAAATTATTATGTATTGGGTAACGTTATATAAAGAATATAGAGTGGGAAAGTACATTAGAATAAATGAGGCGGGGATAAACAAAAGAATGAGAAAAATTTAAATGAAAAGTTTCGCTGGAATGGAGTCATTTTGAGTGTTCAGAGTCAGACTCTTTTTCCTTATAAAAAGCATCTCATAAATAAGGCACTCGAACTTTCCATGGCATTTCTTTAAGGTGGTAAACTGCTCGTGAAGATTGTTAGATGTTTGATTGTGTTTGTCCAATGCACATTTGATAATGGTGACATGTTGTCGCCGAAACGTCATATTTTTATCTCGCTACTCTTTATTCTGAAATGTTTTTCAAAACCTTTCAATAAGATTGGTGTTTTAAATGATGTTAGCGGATAAAGGCATGATGTACATGCAGCAATTCATGTTTTTAAAGCAGAAGTCTGATTGACAATTACAAATTTAATTAAGGTGTAAAGTTACTGAGAGTTGTGAGCATCTAACACATCAAAAAATAGCCTGCTTTGGACTGACAAGATTCATTTACGTAGGGCAGCAGTGTTATAAACCCAGTATAAACGTCTCGTTAGTTGGACCTACTTTGGTAAATTTACTTGTACATGTTCTTTTGCTGCATCTATAAGAGCTTTCTGGAGTTTTTCCTGATGTATTCTAACAAAAATAACAATAACTAATTAGTGATTGTTTAAATTATCAAGTTCTACTCCTACAACATGAAAACTAAAAAGAATGTCCATCACAGTTGGATTGATAGAAATAACTTTACAATGAACTGTCTTTAAGATGGACACATTTGGGAACAGCTCTAGCTATCTGCTTTGGAGAGGTGTCTGCCCTGAGAGTTCACTTACAGAGAAACAAGTGGAATTCTTGACCTGAACCAGCCAGAAAGTCACCTCTGTCTTAGAGAGTGTTTACCTTACAATGTTGTCCATTTTGACAGAGTTAATCAAAAGTGTTCTGTATTGTTCAAAAAAAGATATTTTAAAACCTTTTTCAGTTCACAATAAATAATGTTTATCCTCTAGTTGGCGTATCATTAATTTTGATCCACAACTGTTACAATGTGGTATGAAAAAATCAGCTCGAAATCAGTCTCAGCTGTGAAAAGAGTGTTAAGTCTAAGATATCTCATTACAAAAGGTAGTCCTTTATATAAACCTTATTGGATTCCCTGGACGGCCTTGCCTTTTACATTCATTGATACATTGCAAATATATTTATTTTATTGTGTGACAAAATAACAATAAACTGAAAGTTAAAAAAGGATTACAATGTACAATTTATTTAATACATAAAATTAAATTTGAATAACCTTCTCTGAGTTTCATTTTCAGCATTCACTTTATCAGCATCTTTTGCTTTTTGTGCCATCCATCTTCCTATCTGCATAAATTCAAATCCAGTTTATAACATTATGGCTATGGAAGGTAATTTTACGCTGTTGAACTCTGGACCAAGCTTTTCTCAAGGTCTGGGCACTGACCAAGGTCACTTTCACCATTAATCTTTCTTTGCAGCAACTAAATGACATCCTTCAAAATGTTACAGCAACCAAAAAAAAATTACCTGGGGGTAATCTTCAATAAATTAGCCTCCAATACAAAGAGTCAGTGAGTGACTACTCTCATTCTTGCCATCTCATGTTACAGAAAATGCGATACACTCCAGGATTTTTCACCGCCTAGCTTGCATTTGCATTCTAAAAATTTTTATTAAGAGGTCTCATTAACATATCCAGCAGGAGAGCAAC